GGCGGTTTGTGACGATATACATAATAGTAATTGTATAATTAGTGCCACGCTATGTAGAACGCGCATGCAAATGCGTCTGTTTGTGTACGGCAGACGTGACATAATGACATTATAACAGTCCTGACCTTTAACTCGGGCCGGGGCATTAATCATTTTTGTCTCTGGCCTACGCGTGTATACAATCCGTGATGTTTATCTCTCGTAACGACATGCACAACACGAATGGCGCACACGAAATATTATTGTGTTTATGAATATCATCCGCGTTTTAATAAGAATACGACATTATTATCAATTGTGACGTCATGCGGTTGAGACATCACAGAGAAAGCTCTTCAGTCTCCTGTGTCTCTGTCCGGAGAAACGAATAAAGCTAATCGAAACTTAAGAACGACAATAGTATAATAAGTAAACTCGAGTTTGTCGTCATGATCTGCAGGCATTCTGAGTAACCGAAACCGTTCACCGCAAAAAAAAAAACGGTTGCACTGAAAGTCGAGTGCGCGAAAGTCGTCGAGTATCTTTTATTTCTACGGGGTAGTAGGTTGCCGTGTGTTACACAACGTTGTTACGGTACTCGTCGACATCGTTCTAGATTGCTTGCAACGGTGTTGTTGTTTTTTTCGTACTTTTCAACGGTCGCGGCTATCGATAAACCATAAAAAAAATGTCTGTCGGAAACCCTTGACCACGCCTCGGCCTCGGGAATTGGAGCAAAGTGCCCCCGCGACGGTCGTGATCGCCTCCGGGTGGTCCGCGACTGCAGTCTGCAGGTTTGCCGGCGGTCTCGTGCGAGCTGAATTGCATAACGTCGTTTTCATTCTCCTGGACTTTGCCAGTGGTTTATTGTGTTTTCATAGCGTTTAATTATCGGTCGGAGGACACTCGGGCGCCGGCACACAACAATTGTAATGCGCTGCCGTTTTCGCACACCGACTTTCACGTGTTATCGGAACTGTTGCCAAAAAAAAAAAAACTGTCGTCGGCTGATAACACGTGCGAAGAATCGCCGTCCACTCCAATTACGCCAGCAAATGGCGTGCGCGTGGAAAAAAAAAACATCAATACACAATTGCATAACACTTTCGATGGCCACATGTAACCGATTACGACTTATACGTGCTACAGTCGCGCGTCCGATTAAAAGCCGTCGGTTTTTTTAATACAATCGTTGGGATTCGCACGAAATACGAGCAGTTTTCGTGCAAATTTTCCGATCAGGTTGCTGAAATCAAACGAGTGCCGGTCTCACCCACGCCCGCCAACAAGCTCATATCGAGAGTTCGTGTGTTGTTGATCCGGAGAAACATTGACGACCGAGGAGATGAACGCATCACAACAAATCATAAATGGATATTTTCACACAAAGACGTTTTGCAACCGACCGCACGTCTCCGTTATCACATCGGCGTAGTTCGTACGAGCAGCGCTCATTCGAGTTCAACAGACTCCACTCTATATTAATGATAATTACTATTTTTTACCGTAGTTTAGCGTGAACCGACTCTGTCCGTCTCCAGTGGATTTTGTGCAGTTTTTGTCGCCCGGGGGATTCACGTACCGTTCGGACATTGCAAAGTCGTGTCCGACGTGACTGACTTTCGACACAACGAACGTATTGCACGCGAAATGAACATTTTCATTGGACGGTTGAAAAACTGTTATTTCCCCGATAATTTCACTGTAATGCCGACTTGGGCACACACACACCTCGTATAGGAACGCTACTTGGTATGTGTCACGCGAATAGACCAAAACAAATAAATAGAAATAACGGTGAAGCGTCGTCGCATAATAAAACAATATATAACACGTTGTCGTTTCGTAATACCCACCAAGCTTCATACAGTCGGACAAAAAACTACATTGAACAAAACTATCATAACGATTATCGTAATATTCTTCATTTTCCAACAGTTCAACTCGTGAAGCCGAACAAAAAAATTAATCGAACCGCGAAATGGTTTTTTTTTTTTTCGTTCGACTGCCGCCAAAGTCCCACAACTATCGAGTTATGGCAAAACAATTGTGAAATAACCAAAATAGTTATCTGTCACTGTCGTCATAGACAAAAAAAAAACCACTTGTATAATCCGACGAAATGGGTTGACTAAAAATACACACGAAAAAACTCGGATTTTATTTGAAATTTCGGTCAACCGCGAGACGGCACCTGAGCGTATAGTCTTCGACGTGTAATTTTTTATCGCCAACGAGTTTTTTTTCAAAAATATTGTGTAATGAAGATGCAACGTACGCGTTATGACAGGTGATATCTTACTAACAAGTTTTCAACAAGAACGATTTATCATAATTTTTCGGTAATGGATATTGCGGCTAATACATAGCGGATTCGACGGACGTGAGTGGTTTTCGATAGAACGCGGTGTACACGATTCGATACCGAGTGTCTATTACTTATTCTACATATTCTTGAAATGTATAATTATCGTGCGATTGTTCTTGGTACCAACTTGCGATGCCTTCGACATTCTTGCGGTCTTGTATGGCGGCGACTTGGGTTCTAGCGGCGGTTTTACAACAGGAAAAACGCCTATCGCGCGAGTAGTGTACAGTAGGCGAAATAAAGTATCGTTGCACTGGAATGATACTGTTCAGGTTTTTTACAGAATCGATAAAAGACAGGCAAATAAAGAACCGTTGTTTAGGCGATTAACCGCATTTGTTTGAAGGAAAACATTTTATGACGACAATGAACTACCGGAATATGAATTCAAACAGTTATGCGTTAATTCTTATTCCTAGTAAGAAATAGACATTTAAATATTGTGATGTGTATAATATTTTTTTGCATAATAATCTCATCTTCATACTCGATATCCTTGTAATATCTCATTTATCGTTAACGTTACCGACCATTTTAGTAACGCAGGTCGCACTTTTAGTAGATTTTTATGATACACCGATATTTTTTTTTGTATGGTATTTTAAAGATACCATCTATTTTTTTTTTTAAGCTCCACCAGGCAACACTACGGTACGATTGGATAAATTTTTGCGATGGATATAATTTTTAGATAGTTATCAAACGGACGGGTTCGTTTTTCTGTCCCCTCGAGGAACGCTCATTGTTTTTCCGCACGGTAAAACCCGCGATATATTCTCAAGGTCGGCTGTTGTTGCTTTCAACCTTTATCGGAATGCTCGGCAACCGGTTCATTCCGAGTGACATTTTCACTACTATCGTAATACCCACTCGTCTTGTTTCTAATCGGTTGGATTTTTACACCGACTTCGTGCGTTCGTCATACCGCGGGACTCCTGGCCATTGAGTCATGCAAATATGTACTCTATTTTTAGCATTGGAAGGTAATAACCGCCAATACGTATCGTGACAGTCCGGAGTAGTTGTCTGCAAGTATGACGCGCCTATTGATAGTCTTACTCGTGCAGAACAGTCACGTATCATCATCAACCCGACCGACGGTACTACGCCTGCCCGACAATATGTTTGCGTAACGCGTCAGTCTTATCTTGGCCGAGTCGTATGCATAATTTTATTACCGTCGTTGAAGTCTAATGACTTGCCGATTTTTCGGCGATAACTCGTCGTGCGAATTTTCAACTGTGGGACACACGACAGCGCAGCTGTGTGTTTTTTATGAGCCCAAGTTGGTTGATTTACCGCCTGCGTTAGTAAATGTCACGATTATGTTGTTGTGCTTTGTGATAAACGTCGCATGGAATAGCAGAGATGCGCTGCAACCGTTTCAGGACGTGTAATGACATAATTCTTTGGTGCAACAGTAGTCGAACCCAACAGTGTTCGGGCAAATCTAACCAGTCAGCGCGCTAATGATGTGATTCGGTTAGTTCGGTTCTTAATGGCCGCAGCCCATTGCCCTTGGTACTACTTGTACACAATACTGAAAAGGTTTCACTAAACGAAAAAAAAAAAAATAGTGAAACATTACGCGACTGCAATGGGTTTTCACTTTTTCTCCGCCCAAGTAAACCGAATTAGCCTTACGATTGTATTATGGTACGGCATAAACCTATCTATGCATCTAACGACGACGTCCACGCAATCGGTTTTCGTCGTGTAAACCACAAATTTCCACTGGTAACGTACACACGTCCAAATTCAATAAGAAAAGAAAAAGAACTACACAGTCGTAGTTTTGCATTTTCCACGGACCGCCTGTGGGTCATCATTGGACTATGACAAGTGTAAAATTACATTCGCATAACACCTCCTAGTGCAACAACGGTTTATTTTACTATGCGTATGCTTATTATCAATGTGCTTTTGTGCTTTGTGTGTGTACACATACTGACACATCAACATAAACCGTAAAATCGTCGTGCTCATTAATAATAATAGTCGGCCGGATAATGAATTAAACGGCTTTGTAGTGGCTAACAATAAAAATGTACTACCGCGCTGAATAATTAGTCAGGGACACTTCACATTTTTTACGCAACGCACCCAACAGAATTAACGATAAAACGAATCCGAAATGAAAACAAATATTCGCAATGAACGTCGAAAGATTGGTGGGATTTTTGCAAGAAAAAAATATATTATTAGTTTTCACGAAGAATCTCGGTTATTAAACGTAACGGAAGTATTCTTTTCCTAGAAGTTATCTACGGCCCATTACGTCTCGACTAAAATGACTATAGTAGTCATTCTTGTTTCCCTGTGTGTGTACAAATTGCACTTGCTACCGAGCTCTCTTCGCAAGCTGAGTGTTATTACAATTACACTCAGCTGTGTAACATGTTATGATACACTCGACACATTCGGTCCGTATCACACGTCGTCTTAAACGTTTCACTTTCCACCGCAACGTCTTTTCCTGAACGTAACGCGCGCAATACATTTTTATTACTTTCGATTTTTACTGCATTTATTAATTTTTTTCCGCTAAACGAGTGCTCTTCCATTGGCGGGCAGATGGACCCGACGAAATCTCAATTATCTCGTCGGTTATAACTGGTTTCCAAACTCGCGGTGATAAATTACATTGACTTACCTTTTTGTGCCAGACAAATCAGCAGCGTTGACACGAGTGCGAAGACTTTAAATTGGTCCATCATCGTGACTCGGACGGTTTAAAATTTGGGTATATCCGAAAAAAGGGGCGGCTGTGCTTCAGCCGATCGGATGGACTAAGTTTGTATGCAAATAGTGCGCTGCTCGAACCTTGTGGCATTTACCGATCCGCGCAGATAAAAGTCACCGATGCACTCAATAGCGCTCGAGTGGACATTAGTTTGGCGTAAAACTACTGTCAGACGGTCTTGTTGTCATTTGACGAACGGCAAAGCGAATAAATTAAAAAAATTAATTTGAAAAAAAATCTCGTTAAAAAAATATAATAATTAAACACTTTTGAACGGACGACAAATTTTTATTCGAACGATTTTTCTATCTTTTTTTTTTTTTTACGTCGATTTAATCTATATTTAACTCGTTCGCACGCTTCGTCCTAAACTACTGTTCACATGAGAGTGAAGATTGGTTGGACAATACGCAAACAGATACTAGCGGACCGACGGGCGGCAGAGAGAAGTCAACATCGCCGACGGTTAGCGGGAGTAGAGAGAGCAAGAAGGACGGCCTTAGCCGAGTGAGACAGCTCGCGTACAAGAAGGAAAAGGAGAGGGTCACTTTCTTATTCAGCCGCTGCTGTAGTCCACCGCCTATTACATTTATTGCGCGTTTTTTTAGTGGTAAATGGGAACGCACACTCGCCCCATAACGCTACAACTTGCACAAGATTTGTCTATCAAATTTACACCACCACCACCACCACCACCACCTTTCACTAGTCGGCATCATGCATAGCCTCCAGTCTCGCGCCTTTATTTTTTTTTACTGCTGTGTTAAGGGCACCAAGAAAGATTAGGTGTCGCTATAAAATTCCTACTTATGTTATCATTTACACTTTACACAAAGTGTTGTACAATGTTTCTATTAACGATTGGTTGTTAAAAACACAATATTTATTTTAGATTAATAATATTCGCCATATTTTGATAATTCACGACTGTTACTCGGAGACAAATTGCATAATGACTATTACTACATTCTTGATGTAAATTAAATCAACGACATTAATATAAATAAATACACTAGGATTGGTAAAACCAGTACAAAGGTTACGTGTCTAGTTTTTTTCTAATAAGACTAACTATGATTAATAGTATTTATGTATATATAGTATAAAGCTGCGAAAATAAACATAACTTGTATATGTAGTGCGGGATGCGAAGTTCAATGATATATATATATATTGAAATTGAACTTATTGCCGTCTATAATAAATTAACTTATGTCATTTTGACTAATGTTTGGATGACATGAACAGACTTGTAATAATTTAAGTCTAGATTAGGACATTATAATTTATTGATTCAATAACAAAACATTCCGAGGATAAAACTGTTGCCCAATAATTTATTTATTACTTTATTGAATCTTCAGATCCTGTATCTGTTATTATTGTATCATCTATAACGATACAAATGACAGCCTTATTATTTACCACCCCAAGGTGTGTCTGGGACACGAAAGATTACTTTTAAAAACAATTTTGCCTATCTTTGTAAATTTATCCAGTCATAATTTTTTTTTAAATAATGTGGTAACATTTAATAATGTTTATGCAATCTTTCTGGTAAATCAATGTATTTTAATAAATTATTTTTCTTGTATCTGGATTGGTTGAAATTAAAATTGTAAAGCAAATTTTGTATGAAGTCAAACAACATTTTTGATAGTTATCATTAAGTACACAAAACAAACGACATATTTAGTATGTTAAATATCAATTGAGATTCAGGAAATTAAAATAGCAGAATAATTTAGCTTTAGATTAAACATATAAACGTATACGGCACTATTTGAATATATAGCTCGAGGGTTAGTTATTTTTTAGATTACACTTATGTTCATTTTCATACTAATACTATTGTAAATCGGACGACTTCAAACAATTACCAGAAACATTTGGGAAAATATATTAACATTTTTATATGAATACTATTTTTATCATAATAATTTTTAATTAACATTAGACATGTTACCTATTGATATATTCATTACCAACATTTATTAAATATGTTTTACAAAAAGACCTGTCAGTAATTAGTTTTAAGGACTAATATATAACATATTTATAACTAACTGCTTTACGTGTAAAAACACTACTAATATTACGTAACCAACGTTAAAGTCTCTTGTATAAAATGTTATTGTGACGTTCAGATATATAGACAATATAAGTATAATTACTTCATTTAGTTTAGAAAAAATGTAGAATATTGTTAATATTATGGTCGTTTATTTAATAAAATCATAAAATAAATGATTGTACGACCTTCATTTTTTTTTCATGTAATTAAAATGTTTCAAATCTCATGATCATTTTTTAAGTGAAATGGTAAGAACTATAATGTATCATCTATATATTATATGATTTTAAAAGTGTACACATATACATAAAAAAAGTGTACATAAATTAAGAAAACTATATATTTTGATTGATAAAATTAGTAGTATGGTTTCGGTTGAACGGTAAAGAAAGGTCATTCTACATAATCGATAGAAAATTAATTAGCAACTTATGTACAAAAATTTCAAATTAAAAAATCAAACAACCTTAGAGGAATTTATACTATTTTTATAAACATGATTAATTAAATCATTTATTTTCATTTAATAAATAAGTTGAATTGATACAGTTATAACTTTAAAAAGTTAATAATTGCACTAATTGATTAAAATGATATAAAGCATTTAAAATAAATCGGTACTTTTATATTTTTAAAAAAGTCAATTAGAATTTTTTTTTAATAGAATACATAAGAAAATTAATTATTTCTTGTTTTATTTTTGGTCACTTTAAAAGTACAAGTGTGGCATTTATTTATTATAAAATCAAAAATAAAACTAGTTTTGGCTAATCCTTTCATATAACATCAAAATCAAATCTGTTAATTTTACAATTGTCTGAATACAGTTAATCGAATATTTCTTTAGAATGTATTCACTACTTAATTTAAAATTACAGATAGTAATTATTGTATTAAACATTATAATTAAAAATCTTTTGTGACAGCTTTATTAGGCGCCTGTTAGCACTTTTTTGTATGATGTTTTCCTGCGGCTACGTATTTACGATAACTAACGATTGAATTGATTCTATTCAGTTTTATTAATTATTGATAGTTAAAAGAACTTGTAACAATTCAATTCTTATGTCGAGATTTTATTAAAATATTTCCTCTATTAGCACTAGTAAGCCATAGTTATTATTAAATAAAATAGTTTTGTTGTTATTTATAAATATTCAAAGTAGTAAATAGTATGTAAAGACTCATATTTTTTATTACATTCTAAGATGAGGACCTGTAACATGTTTACAACAATTTATACCATATGATAGGAGGTCAAACATTGATCATTGAATACGAATAGAATAGAATAAGCTACTCTAAATATATTCATTAAAATTTAATAAGAAAATTACTTAATATTTTATTGAAGTACAGTTTTACATTTGAATATCGCAGATGATTGTAAATCTAAACTTTTGTAACTTAATTAAGTTTATTTAAAAATTCATATTTTTTTCTAAATACATAATTTTAAAATAACAGTGTCTATACGTATCAAAAACCTTATTTATAAAACATAGGTTTTAAAATTTAGTTATACTTTAAGTATACCTGCTTATAAAATAACACATTAAATTGACTTAAAAGAAGAATACATTTTTTTTCTAGTCGTAAGAAGCAACTAATGAGATTGCATCAGATCGATAGCCGTTGTAAAATGTTGTCAAAAAGTATGAGGAGGCCTGAACAGAACTTAGGTGGATAGTCTCATCTCAAATGTACGCGAAGACAACAGGCGAGAAGAAATAATGTAGTAAGAAACGAGGAAGGCCTAAAAAATAAAGTATTTAATGACGGCCGAACAACTTGTGCCATAGCTATTTTACCAGTCATGTTTACATGACGCTTCAACAGTGTAGAGACATCATTACTCAACTCTAAGTTGGACTCACGCATAAAGGTAAAGATTGATACAAAGTAAGAATAGATACTTGGAATGTTCGAACATTAACTGGTAGAAGTAGAGAATTACTAGAAATATTGAAGAGAAGAAAAGTTAACATTTGTTGTGTGCAGGAAATCAAGAGAAATAGGTGAGGGTTAAATAATAATATACTCAGGTAAGTCTAATACAAAGAGTGGTGTAGGGATAATAGTGGATAAAGAGATGAAAAGTAAATAAGTAGAAGTAGTTAGAAAAAGTTACATAATTAAAGTCGTAAAATTAATTTCCAAGGGGAAATTTTGTATAATTTGGATTATTTTATATAGAAAAGGGAAAGGGTAAAGCGAGTAAAGTATTGTACAGTTATTCCAGGCGAGAATATAACTACACAACATAGACTTATGGTAATAAAGTTGTGGTGTAGTAGGAAGATAGTATACTAAAAAAGCAAAGGAGTAGAATCGATGATCCGGTAGTAGAAATTGAAAGGGGAAAAAAGAGTTTTAAAGACGGTAAAATAGAAAACGATGTGGAATGTCGAGGGAGGCATAAATATAATGATGCGCGGAATAGATTTGCTAGTCGAATAAAGAATACTGATAAAGGAGATTGTTGGAGAGAATGGGAGTAGAATGGCAGAAAACAATGTAACTTGGTGGTAGGGTGAGGGGAGAAAGTTTTAAGTATTCAGGATCAGTTGTGCAAAAGAACGGTGACAGTAACGAGGATGTAAAACACAGGATTATGTGCGGATGGGTGAAGTGGAGAGAAACATCTGGTGTGTTAAGCAATAAGGAAATTCCAATGAGACTAAAAGGTATGTTCTATAAGACTGTAATGAAATCAGCTATGATGTATGGTTCAGAGTGTTAGCGGCTGACAAGAGAATAGAACAGAGAATGAGTATAGCAAAGATGAGAACTCTTAGATGGATATGTGGAATGACTAGAAAAAATAGGATAAAGAACGAACATATAAGAAGGAGTATAAGTGTAGCGTTAATCAAGGATAAGAAGAGAATAGTCTTAAATGGTTTGGTTATGTTATGAGAAGAGAAGAGAAGAATCGGAAACTGTAAGGACAATTATAGAATTTAATGTCGATGGAAGAAGTAGCAGAGGAAGACCAAGAAAGATATAGAGGTATGTTATTAAAGGCGATATCAGGAGGGCTGATGGTACGTCGTTGATGTAGGAAATCGCATCAAGTAATAGTTTAGGATAAGGGTGGCCGTCCCGAGTAGTAAGGATAAAGACGAGGAAAAAGAAGAAGATTTAGTATATCATTTTAATATAGTATTTAACATTTTTTTAAGTATTTAAATTGCTATGAAATCCCTATCATAACGTCCACATTTACTCTTAAAAAAATATATATATATATATATTATAGTCGAAAAACGCATAAATAAAATTGAACTCATTCAAGTAAAGTATCCAAAAATTTTCAAAAACCTGAACAATTAATTTACTATCAAATAAATTTCACGAAGTATAATAATTACAATGGGTAATTTATATAAAATTATTTTTAATTGCAAACATAAATAAAAGACTAATTATTATATAAACATTAATTATATTGAATTAAGTTATTTATTTGGTTGGATAACATAATTGCATAATAAATTAAATAATGTACATAAAGCCTGATTATTTTATTTTTTTATACTTACAGATAACATTTTCATATAGATCTCTTGCTTGTATTATATCAGTTTTTCCATTGTAAACTTTCTATCAATCTTATCAGTTTCATCATAAATTAAAATTAATTTCTGTTTATATTTTATGTTTTTACAGAAAGAGTTTCTAACTCTAAACAGTCAAAATCATAACTGTCACGTAAATACTGTGTGTTCATGAAGCCTCTTCTCTGAACAAGAACTATCACTTTCATAAACGACCATCGTTGTCAAGTAGGAATTAATATTTTAGAAATATAGAATTTTTTTCTGTCCCATGTATTTTGTTTTTATGGTTAAAAAATTTATTTAAAAAAAAGTATTTTCCAGTTAATTAGAAAATAGAAAATGTATGTTATTGAACAAATTACTAGACTTCTGGTAATTTTTCCCAAAAAGCATAAGAAAATAATTTTAATTAAAAAAAACGATGACATAGTGGGGTCGTGACATAGTTGAGTCCAGTATAGATGATAACTGACAGTGATTAATATCACTATCATAAAAAACGCTTCGATGCAAATCTGTAGATAGTGTTTAATTTTAAAAAATTGGTGGATTATTCAAAAAACTACATGATCTCCTATTTCATTATTTATATCCCGATTTATTATCAAGTTTTATGATTTATAAGTGTAATATATGAATAAATATATTTATAATATATAAATATTTAAAGGGAAACAGTTATATTTAAAAAAAAAGTATGTCGAATGAAAGAATTATATAAATAGCAATTATCATAAAAAAATTGTATTCATCCATACATTTTTTAAAAAGTTATAACATTTTAAAGTTAAAAATGTAAAATATAAAATCGAGAATTTTAACACAAAAATAGCAAATGGTAGCCATTTTCACCATGAAGACAAAATAAAGTCCGAAATCTTTTTTTTTCCATAATAAAGTATATTATATAAGCTTTAATTTAAAGTATATATAAAAGTGTCAGTATTTTCGGAACATTTCAAAAGTTAAGTTAAAAAAGTTGTCATTTTGAATCCCCCTCTGTAGGCAGGTAAAGGTTCAGATTTATAAAAAAAATATATCAAATAATAGGTAAAAACATTGTGCATCTAAAAAAAAAAATGTACTGATTTGGTCATTTTTAAAAAAGTTATAAGTTTTAAGTAAAAATCATTGAAAAAATGTCAACATTTAATGATTTTAAAAATCATAATTTTTTGGGTCATTTCCACCATTTAAGGGGAACGAAGGAAATTTTTTCAATTTTCAAGAGCAATGTACACAACTAAATACGATTTGTGATCTTTTGACGTATCATTAAAAGAAACTGGTCAAGTGAGAGCTGAGAAAAAGTAATGTAAGACACAAAAAAAAAAAAATTAATAATAAACACATGATGGTAAAATTAATACCTTCTCAGCTTCTCATCAAAGCTAAACGTTCCAAATTACTATTATATTTTTTTAACTTTACGTAGCTGTGCATTTTAAAGTAGTTAAAAGATACAGTTTACATTAGGAATTTCTAATTCACTGAAGCTGGAATACATTTTAAACAATGATAAAAAGTTTAAAAAAATATAGTGAAATTTATTTCTAATAAGATACACAAAGTTAGAAAATTATTATTAATTAACTTGTAAATATGAACACGGAAGAAGCTTGGTTTTTATACTAGTACAAAAAGGGATAGATTTAAAATGTACTTAATTTAATTTAATTTTTAATTTTAGTTTATACCAGCTTATATCCTAGGAAATCTATGATTAGTTATGCAACTATAATTGATAGCATATTAGTAGATTGTAAAACAAATATAATCTGCGAATTTTAAACACACACCCAGCGCAGACTACGCCCAACTTTTTGACTTGTTCATTTCTTGTTTATTATAACTGATTTTCGATAGTAATTTGTTTTAAATTATAGTAGCTATTTTAACGTGAAAATTTGATTGGTTAGGGTATTTGTTCGATATAATAAAAAATAATTTACAGTCTATGATTTTACCGTGAATTTGATATTTTTATAAGACACACTAACATAATATATATGGAGGAATACTTTAATTCAGAGTAAACGTGTTAAAATCATTTAAATCGTTTGTTTAAATTTATGGGAAATATTTTATTTTAAAGCAAAACTGAGGAGTTTTGTATAACGAAAATCTGGTGTTGACTTGTGCACAGCAAAGCGAAGAAAAATTATGAAAAANGGCAATTTAAATAACGAAAATCTGGTGTTGACTTGTGCACAGCAAAGCGAAGAAAAATTATGAAAAAATAGTACCAGGAATTCATAAGACGCAAACGACTTTTACAACCACCGCAGTGGACTATAGTGTGGCGTACCGCAATGATCGGCCAGAACAGCATATTTATACGGGAGGACGATGGCCGTTTGTGGTGCCACTGGCCAACTTGCATTCGTGTGGTGCCCTTGATTTTCCTGGCGATGCTCGATATTCGCTCCTTATTACAATAAATAATATTGCCCGATTAATACAGGCAAAATAGCTAGAATACGAATAGAAAATTACTAAGCTGATTATTCTTAGAGATAAGATAATATTCAGAGCAATAGTTCCTTGAAAAGTAATTCGTAATAGGCTAACGTTTTGTTTAATGTAACTTTTATAATATTAGCTAACATTTTAAAATTAGTGCACTAATTTTGTTTCTTACGAAAATATTTACTCGTTAAATTTTACTCCAATAAGTCTTTAATAATTACTTATAATTTTATATTCGTATAATTAGCAAAAATGTGTTTATTAATTACACTATACTATTATTACAATCTTATTAATGAATTGCTACAACAGATCAAAGTTGAACAAATACCTAGCATATAATTATATTAATAAGGTTAAGGCCAAACTGTTATACTATTAATTATTGATGACAAACTGCATTATTTACGGTATTTTGAAAAAGTTTAAAGATTACATGCAGATAAAACTATGCTATCCAATTCCTAGGGAAGAGCAGTTTTACACTAATTTGATTTTGATATAATCGACTAATTAAACAATTTTAACACATTTAGGCTAAGTTCAAATTTGTCTTTGTGCTAATTATGTCAGTGTGTCTTATAAAATTAACGAATTCACAATAACATCGATTGTAAATTAATTTTTATTGTGTCAAACAAATACCCTAATCAATCAGTTTTTTACGCTTAAATAGCTACTATAATTTAAAACAAATTACTACCGGAAATGTGTTATGATAAAACATGAAATAAACAAGTCGAAAAATTGGGCGTAGTCTGCGCTGGGTGTGTGCTTATAATACTCAGATTATATTTGTTTTACAATCTACTAATAAACTATCCAATGTAATTGCATAACTGTATGTTTCATGGGATGTAAGTGTTAAGTCGGTCATAATATGTTGTATTTAAATGTGTAATACGACTGGTGTATTCAGTCCTGTTGATCTATATAATCTAATTCTATTATTTGCTTTCGGCAACTGTGAAACACAAGTTATCAATACACTTGGTCACCAAGTGTGCCGTTCTAATTTGCTTACTTACATTGAATTTAATATTGACCGATTTAATCATATTACTTTAAGTGTTATGCTTATGTAAGTATGAAATACGCCCTCTGGTAGGTTAATCATGCGTAACGGGTTGTATTTATAGACACATTATCGTCACATATTCCAACAGACGGCCGCAGTATTATTTTAAATTATCGACATTGGCCTTACAATAAAATAAATTGTTTAATGTTTTTTCATACCGCCATAAATATTATGAAGTCGATAAAATTTTAAATATTACTGGGTCGTTAATAACACACACAAGAAACAATAGTCGGTATTTAATTGAGTACAGAACTTAAAGAGCACAATAAAATAAATAGTTAACACAATTAAATGCATCTAAACTATACATTGTTTACCGCGTGGATTATTTATTTTGCTTGCAATGTAACATAATCATAATGCAGAAACGAAAGCAAACCTTTAGAATTTTAATCATCGGAAAGGTCAAATTCATGAAGGGACGGTATATATCCTCCTATAAGATAAACCAGCACTCAAAATAATGTGGTAGTTGACTTTGGTAGATTATAGTTAAATTTTTATCAGTTATCAAACTTGAGTTTTTTTTTTCAAAAAATAAAAACATAAAGTAAAAAAAATGATTATTCAATTTTTGGTTAAATATTATGATTAGTGTATCGAAATAGTTTAATTTTTACTGTAGAATACAAATTTTTTAGTTTCGAAATTTTAAGTCCAAATTGGTGGCGTGGATATCATAATTAGCTTTATTATATAGTGTATTTCTAATAGGTCTCTCAAGTAAAATTAAAATTAAAAAAAATTTTTTTTTCATGCAGCTTGGCTGATTTTTGTACATATATATATATATATATATATATAGTATAAAAAAAATGTTCACTAATCTTGAAACCTTATACCTTTTTTTTTATAAATAAAGCGTAAACTGAAATATATGATATTTTAAAAATATTAATAAATGATGGTTAAATACTTTTCAATTATAATTTTTTATTATTATATCTTTATTCTATATGTATTAGATGTAGATGTATTCTAATTTGCATATATGATTATAGAGTGATCACAAATCGATTTTTTTAATTTTAATATAGAATCTCCAAGTTCATATTAAAAATGAAATTAAAATGACGATGATAACGCATGTCTAAGGTCTCTAAAGTCGTGTAAAATAGTTATTTTCAAAAAATAAAAAAAACAACACTTTTCATTATAACTGCAATTTTAGTTTAACATGCAGATATGGTTTTTACTTTACAAATAGAATATTTAAGGATTTATAAAAAAGAAAATTGGTATTTATTTAAAAATAAAAATCAATGTAACTTCTATTTATAGAAATAAATAAATAAGCGAATCTCTGCATTTTTATTTTTAAAAATATATTCTTTGATCTATTTTTTGACAGAAGATAATCACAAACACTCGCAAAACATTCTAACATTTATGTCTCTCACAAACAAACAAAAAATACTATATTCCTGAGACTGACAACATGCATTCGGTACAAATCTACAAAAAAAAAAATCGAAAATTAAATGTACATAGCCATGGAAATTTTTTAATTCGCCTTATTTTTTGAACAGACCTCGCAGTACATGGTCGCGAAACCATGTTAATATAAAAATAAAAAGATCAATATAAAAACATAATTATGATTCCTTAAAATTGAAGTCTCGGTCAATTAGTTCTGCTGAATTTCTGCCTGTATATTTAAATGATAGGTAAA